GTGTTAAATATTGTTTTCGTTCTTTATTTGATGTATATTTCTTGTCTCTTAAATTAGAAGGAAATCTCCAGATGTGACACCCTGACTCTCCTCCTCTTTTCCCAAGCACAGCTGTAGTGGGTGCTGATGTTGCCCCACACAGGTCTCCTTCACTGACCTAGGCACCCACCTGTTGTGAGTGTTGACTGTCATTGTCTCAGAACTGCCCCCTTTTCCGGAGATTTGGCTTCAGCTGAATGTGAACATACCTGAGAGGCTGTGTGCCTCCTCCAGCAGTCAGCAGCCAATGACTGACTGACATGAGGTACAAAAAGATGGCCACAAAATATGGGACCATGTCTGTGAGCAAAATTGAACTTCCATACCAGTTTTACCCATAATTGCCAAAACTTGGAGGCAACCAAGATGTCAATAGATGAATGGGTAATCAAACTCTAGTACATCCATATAATGAAATACTATTCAGCAATAAAATGAAATGAGCTATCAAGTAACAAAAAGACGTGGAAGAACCTTAAATACACACTGCTAAATGAAAGAAGCCAGTTTGAAATAAACTACATACTGTATAATTCCAATTATATGTCATTCTGGGAAAAGCTAAACTATAGGGACAGTGAAAAGATCAGTGGTTGCCAGGATTTGCCAGGAGTGGGAGGGGAGAGAGATGCACAGGGCATTTTTAGGGCAATGAAACTATTCTGTTTGATACTACAATGATGGACACATGACATTATGCATTTGTCAGAACCCATGGGACTACACAACACTATGAGTAAACCCTAATGTAAAGTGGATTTCAGTCAATAGTAATGTGTCGATACTGGGCCATCAACTGTAACAAATGTATCATGGGCATACAAGGTGTTAATAGGGGCGAGGAGAAGAGGTGTATATGGGAACTCTGTACTTTCTGTACAGTATTTTCTATATATCTAAAACTACTCTAAAAAATGGTCTATTTAAAAAAAACTTTTTAAATTCAGCTTCAGAAAGCAGGCTGGAGCTAGTCTCCAACCAAGACCACTTCCTTGCTTTGCTTTCTTCCATTGTCCTGCCCTGCTAATAACTCCTAGCTGCCACCCTTCCTTAGAAAATTGCCGTCAGCTGATAGGAACCTTGTCACATGTCCCCCTTCTCCCTCTCTGCCAGGGTAGCCCACAACCAGTGTTAACTTTTATGGGGGTACAAAAGACAAGCCCTCTTCCTTAGTGGGCTATAATTCTTCCATGTGGTTGACGCCCCAGCCCCGTATAACACTCCCCTGGGGATCAGGCCAAAGCCAGACTTGACCTGAAACCACAACTTGTTAAACTCTTTTCCTTTCATATCTACTTCAGTCTCTCCCCTGTCAGTTTTTCCTAAAATGCACTCCCTCAATAAATGGCCTGCCTCAGACTCTGCTTCTAGGGATCCGGATCTGTGACCACTGGTGTCAACACTGTGCCATCATTTTCCTAAATCACCTTCTGATTCATTTTCTGGGCTTGTTCAGATCTATGCTCTGGGCTGTGTGTGCCATAGGGCTGTAATTGGGTTGAGGATGATGAGGGAGCTGTATCAAGGGCAAGTGGGCTTTTTTGTAAATAATATCTGATATATATGGTTGTTGTGAGGGTTTTGAGTTGATATGTGTAAAATGTATTACGATAGGGATTTCTTTGATCTTTTGTGTTCACTTATGTATGCCAAGGTGCCTGAATGAGTGCACGGCACATAGTAAAACAAAAAAACAAACTCACTGCTGTCAATTTGACTCTACTCATAGCGACCCCTCCTTGGGTTTCCCAGGCAGTATCTCTACGGAAGTAGATTGCTCAACTTTCCTTCCAAGGAGCAGCTGGTGGGTTTGAACTGCCAGCCTTCTGGTTAGCAGTCAAATGCCTTAGGCACTACGTCATCAGAGCTCATAGTAGGCATTCAATAAATAACTTTTGAATGAATGGTTATTGAAATTTTGTTTTGAGGGCTCAAGGCTATGTGCTGGGATCTAGCCAGCAGAGGGCAGAACCTGTTCAGGCAAAAGATCTGGGCTGATAGAAAAGGTGGGTTAGAGTTCCCAGACAATTGGAGGGAAAGAGGTAGAGCTGGAGGTGGGCTGAGGAGAATACCTACCTCATAGAGCATTAAAATTTTTAATTATTCTATCTTAAATCCTGGAATTTTATTTGGTCCAACCCTGGATGTGTGTAACGAGTAGAGCTCCTACTTTGTGATTTCAGTCGAATAAGTAGTTCCAGGCTCTCACATCCCTGGCATTGTTCTGGTGGCTGCAACTTGTTTGAACGTGTATGTTGTTGTTGTTGTTATGTGCTGCCAAGTTGGACCCGACTCATAGTGACCCCTCCTTGGGTTTCTGAGGCAGTATCACTACAGAAGTAGATTGTCCAACCTTCCTTCCGAGGAGTGGCTGGTGGGTTTGAACTGCCAGCCTTCTATTTAGCAGTCATGTTGTTGTTGTTGTTGTTGTTGTTATGTGCTGCCGAGTTGGACCCGACTCATAGTGACCCCTCCTTGGGTTTCTGAGGCAGTATCACTACAGAAGTAGATTGTCCAACCTTCCTTCCGAGGAGTGGCTGGTGGGTTTGAACCGCCAGCCTTCTGGTTAGCAGTCAAGTAAGTGCCTTAGACACTATGCTACCAGAGCTCCCCATAATCCTCTCAGTTGATCCCTTTTTTGTTTATGCTAATCCAAACTTTGTAACAATTGGGTTTCTGTAACTTGTAAGCAAAATAATTTTTATTACTAAGTCCCACTAGCATGAATGACTTTGTAAAGGGGAGGCACCGCCACAGATGGGGATAGTGAGGTTGTAGAACTCCCTGCTTTGCTGATCCACTTGTTTTCAACAGGAAGGTATTCTCTCCATATTTCTGCCTCCAAGGCTTCCCTTCCTTGTTTTGTTTCCTGTGGTACCTAATCTCCCATTCACTCTCCCCACTTAGTTCTGTCCTATCTTTTAAAGCTGAGTTCAAGTTCTACCTTTTCTGATTCCACTAGATCTACTCAATCTCATTTCTCAAACCTTATAGCATTCACCTGACCATTCTTATACTCGGCTACATTCCATATTTTATTTTGTTTGGGTTTGGTGGTTTCTAAAGCCCCATACAGCTGTAGCCTTCTGAATCCAGTGTTCCCATATGTTGTATCTTATTAAGCAGTTCCACCTCCTCCCTCAAGTAGAGATGAGTAAAGACAAAGACATATGGGGGCTCAGCACAGATTTGCAGAGAGTCAACATAATTGCTGATGGGAGCAAGTGTGTTTTGTATTCTCCATTTAGGGAAACAGGGAGCTGTGGTGGCATAGTGCTTAAGGCATTTGACTGCTAACCAGAAGGCTAGTGGTTCAAACCCACCAGGCATTCCTTGGAAGGAAGAGTGGGCAATCTATTTTCATAGAGATAAATTGACTTGACAGCAGGGAGGTTTTTTTTGGGGGGGGTGGTTATTCAGAAAACACATAGGAATTCATTTTTATTTTTTCAAAGTAGAAATAGTTTTTTTATTATTATTATGCAAATAACTAAGATTAAATAAATCAAATGTTACATAAATGTTTACAGTCAAAAGAGAAGATCACCCATAATTCTACTCCTGCGATAACTGCTATTAAACCATTCTTTCTGTTTTTGCTATGTACAAATATGTATGTTTCAATGGGGCTTTCTGAAGACCTTAAATTGAAATTTCTTAAATTGAAATCTGACACAGAACAATGAGAAGTACTGATCTAGGATTTGGAGCAAATGGCTTGTAAAGTCTTTACTTGCCACATTGCATGTACTACATTGAACCATTTGAAACTACGGATATTTACCTGTTTTGTGACCTACAAAAACAGCTCATTCTTATAGTTCAACCTAAGGTAAGTAAAATCTAGAAAGTCAGAACATAGGACCTTTAGAGACTTCCAAGTCTTAACTATTTTGTTATACAGAAGAGGAGAAAGGATCAGAGAGAGAAGGTGTCTAGCCCAAGGTCACATAACACATTAGTGATAGAACCAGGGCTTCAAATGAACCATGTACCTGCCTTTCACAATCCGCTTCTCTTACTGTCATCTTCTACAAGGAATGTGTAGCAAGGTAGCAGATTTCAGCTTGGTATCAGAATTTCTCATCATCAAAATGGAAGAGGCTGTCTTGGAGGGAATGAAGTCACATGGTCTGAGTTGGTAAGGGCACTGGAACATGACAGCTCAAAAGGCAGAACCATGGAGCTACGGAGCTAGTGAAGTTTGATATTCAGGGCTCCACCCTTACGTGGGCTCCTTCCTAAGACCTAGGAGGCTCTAGCAATGTATTGACATAGTGACATGTTTTTGTAATATTTGCAAAAGTTAAGATATTTTAAAATCCTTTTTCTTAAAAAGGCTAGATAAGCATCAGGTCCTGCAAGGCCTAGAACCACTCCTATGTGGAAGAGTTCTGGAAAGCACAAGACCAGAGGCTTAAGTTCTAATTATGGCACCATTTAGGCCCAAATGGGTAGAATGTTGCTTGCTCTGCTTACTTCACAGGAGGGTAAAATCACAAATGTTAAATGTGTTAAAAAATATAAATTTGTGAACAAATATAATCTATCCATGATGTAGGATATTCATTGCTGTTTCTCATGGTTGTTGAAGATAACACACAAAAGAGATGTCCTTTGTGAATCTTCCTGTTTCATATCCTCCAACCCTCACCCCTCAATATACTAACCATTGGACTAGTCTTTGGTCATTATCCTTGGCTATTTCTATGTTTGTTCATGAGGGACATTGTCTATAAAGTCTATCTTTGCTTGGAAAAAAAAAATCCTTATCCACAAAGTCTAGCTCTGTCAGCCCCTCCCTTCTCACCCCCATGATGACCTCCCTTAGCATTGTTTCTTACTGACGTCACAGATAGGGAGGGACACTGAGACCTGATATGGCCTATATGTGAGTTCTAGAGGCCTCAGAAGATAAGCCTCAAATGTCTTTATTTAGTGCCATCCTCAGCCTCTGAATATCAGATCATAGACACACGGTTCTTGATGTATACATGATAGGGGTCACTGCGCTTGTCCACTTTGCGGGAGCGGGTGTATCCCAGGATGAGGCTGCCCACTGTGACAGCAAACAGGAACATGACGAAGAGAATGTACATGTATGAATTGTCATCACGGCCAGGTAGGCTGGCCTGCTGTTCCTCAGTTTTGTTGTCTGGCCCCAGCCTTAGTCCTGGTCCTGGCTGGCAGAGCAAGTTGCTGTGGAATGTCTCATTTAGGGCCTTCAGCACAGCATGCAGACTCTTGTACCATGTCTCAGTCCCATTGGTAGTCTCCATAGCAACACAGATTGAAGGGAAGGAAAAATTGGAGGATGCTCTGATGGTGAGATAAAAGAGAAAGTATGGCTTCTGTTACCTGCAGCTAGAATGAGCTTCCCACTCCTCGTTATACGTCCTTCAGACCCCAGCTAAGTCCCTACAGCACAGTTTATTCTAACTACTGGCTTATTTGTCCGTCTTCTCCCTAGATACAAGCTCAGTGATGGCAAGGACTATGTTTCTTTTGTTGCTGTTAGCTACCGTTGAGTTGGCCCTGATTCCTGGCAATGCCACGTACAACAGGATGATTGTTGTGATCCACAGAGTTTTCACTGGTTGATTTTTGGAAGTAGATCACCAGGCCTTTCTTCTCAGTCCATCTTGGTATGGAAGTTCTGCTAAAACCTGTTCACCATCTTAGCAACACATGAGCTTCCACTGACAGATGGGTGGTGGCTGTGCTTGAGGTACATTAGTCAGGAATCACACCAGGATCTCCTGTATAGAAGGCAAGAATTCTACTACTGAACCACTATTGCCCCTTATGTCCCTTTTACTCAATGCTATGTACCAGCACAAGGAGCTCTGGTGGTATAGTGTTTAAGGCATTTGACTACTAACCAGAAGGTTGGTAGTTCAAACCCACCAGCCACTCCGTGGAAGGAAGAAGACTGGGCAATCTATTTCCATAAAGATTTACCACCTCAGAAACCCAAAGGGGGTCACTATGAGCCAGAATTGACTTGATGGCAGTGGGTTTATATATATATATATCAGCACATATGACAGCACTCCATAGGTGCTCAGTAAGTACTTGTGGAATAAGTCTTCCCTAACCATTGTAACCCATTTTGATCCCTCCTTTCTTTGAATTCTATAAACCCAAGAACTTCTGGCTAGAAGGACCTTATTGTTAGGTGCCATCAAGTTGGTTCCAACTCATAGCAACCCTGTGTACAACAGAACAAAACACTGCCTGATCCTACTATATCAGACAGTGTTTCACTGCTATTCATAAGGTTTTCAATTTTTTCAGAAGAGGACTGCTACATCCTTCTACCTAGTCTGTTTTAGTCTTGAAGCTCTGCTGAAACCTGTCTACCATGGGTGACCCTGTTGGTGTTTGAAATACCAGTGGCATAGCTTCCATTATCACAGCAACATGCAAGCAATCATAGTACGGTGAACTGAAAGGCAAGTGGTGGAGAAGGACCTTTGGTATTATTTAATCTAATTCTTTCCATTTTTCCCATTGGGAAGCTGAGGCCCAGAGAGATTAACAGAATATCAGAGGCAGAGCCAAGCTCTATTGATGGCTAGCTCAGTGTTCTTTCCACTTCCATGCTAGCTCACAGCAGGACTATGCAGCCCTATTAGAATGGCATCCATCAGAATTCTCCTTTTTTTTTTTTTCTACTCCATAAACACCATTTAGAAGATGTTTGGGAATGACTTAGATGTCTGCTAGATCATTTGACCTATCAAGCATCCTATGTCCTGAAAGCTCCAGGTGTTCCTAGCTATTAGAGGAAATTCTACTGGAAAGGAAGTGGATGGGGGAGCAACAGGAGGTTAATAAGTACTGGATGCATGGGGGAAGAGAGGGAAAGGTTTGGAGCTGGGGCAGAGGAAGTGAAAGGAGTTCTCAAAGTTTAGGGTTCTACCTGTTCTAGAGAGAGAAGACATATGTCACCATGCATCTCAACTATCCTACCTTCTAAAACAAAGTCACTTCATGCCTACCACATAACCAAAAACCAAAACCAAACTCACTGCTGTTGAGTCAGATCTGACTCATAGAGACCCCTCCTTGGGTTTCCGAGGCAATATCTCTACGGAAGTAGAATGCCCAGCCTTCCTTCTGAAGAGTGGCTGGTGGGTTTGAACCACCAGCCTTCTGGTTAACAGTCAAATGCCTGAGGCACTATGCCACCAGAGCTCCTTGCCTAGCACACAGAAGGTGATAATAAATGCTGCTTTTCCTTTCTCTCAGAATTGTTTAGTCTATAATATAGAAAAACAGTTTTCCATCCCAGCCTCTGGAAAACCAAAGGTCATTCTCTTTAAACAGGTTCCATACCCACTTGCTTCAGAAAGCCTTCATCAACTGCTACCCACCCATCAACCATGCTCTATAAGCTTTATCATCACAGCCACCCCTTTCTTCCAGCACTTATATACTGGACAGTGTGTGGCTGTCCTCATGTTATTAATAAGGGTCTCCTCAGAGCACATGCTCTGGTCAGCAGGTCTGTGTATTTCCCCCAGTCTAGGGGACTATCCTGAGCTGGGCTAGGTGCTCTCTTTCCCTCAGTGGTCTCCAGTAAAGGTGGCCATTTGGGGAACTTCTTAGTCCAAACAGTCAAGAGTTCATTGAATAGTTCCAAAGCCCTCCTTCATGTGAGGTAGGAGAAACCCATTATGTAGAACTGTCAATAAATCAAAGTTAACAAACATGATTATAACCATAATGGCTTTTCCCTGAAAAAGATTATAGTTAGTTCTGACTATGACAAACATTCATGAACTACTCTATGAGTGTAAAAGTTGAGGGACGAATATAAATAATACATTTATCCAGGATTTACATTTCATACAAAGGCCTTTCGGGTCTTCTGCCATCTAGAACTTGTGTTATTTTGTTTGGGCAGAAGGTGGGGAAAAGAATAAGGGCTCACGGAGTTAAGATCCAGAAGGCATAGGCTCTCATCTGCTACCCCACTGAGAAATTTCGGGCAAGCAAATTTTACATGTATCCCTTGTGTGGGCCAATAGAAAGCAAGAGCAGCACAACAGAACTAATGGTTCAAGGAATCATTCAGGCAATCATCATTTATAGAGGCTCACTCTGGGCCAGGCCCTGTGCTGAGAATTTGATGAGAATCAGACCCAGTCCCTGCACTTGGGCTCATCACCACCTCTACTACAATTCAGGGAAAAAGCCAGGAGGTACTGGTCTTAAAGAAAGAAGTGATGAATTCTGGTCGGAACTCAGAAAGTGATAGAGGCATTTAAGTTGGACCTTGGAGGGTTTTTAAAGGTAAAGAAGACAGAAACAGATGAGCAAAGACATGGCACCAGGAAAGTAAATAAAGCATTACAAAGAATGGAAAATATCATAAAAAGGTTGGAGTATAAGATATAGAGAGAGATAAAGTAGGATGTGGGGTACCAGAGACTGACAGGAGCCAGATGACAGAGGGCCCTGAGTGCCAGGCTACAGAATTAGAACTTTATCCTGTAGGTGTTGAAGAGCTGTGAAATAGTATTTTTGAAAGGGATAAAATGATCAGATCTGTGCTTTGGAAAGGACGCTGGCTGCTTTATGGGCGGGAGGGAACAAGAATTGAGGCAGGGTACACAGTTACAAGGGTCTTGAAATAGTTCAGTTGTCAGATACTGAGTCCTGAACTGTGGCAGAGGGGGTGGCAGGGTGGTAGGGGGTAGATATGAGGTGTGAAAAGCATTTTGGGGAGGGAATGGCTAATGTGACAGTTGAGGGAGGAAGGAGCCTCAGAGAGTTTGACAGGTAGATGACAATCTACCAGTGTCTAGAGGAGCCCATTTTGAGAGAAGTAAGTTAACTTGCCCTGTTTTGGCTTTCGTTTCCTCATTTGTCAGAAAAGATAATCTTCCCTGCCCTGCCTCCCTCAAGGGTTGCTATAAAGAAACAGTTTCATTATGCTGAAGAGAATTTAAGTATATATTTTTTTCATTTGGAAAAGCAGATATATAAACCAAAACCAAACCTATTGCCATCAAGTTGATTCCAACTCATAGCAACCCTATAGGATAGAGCAGAACTGCCCCCATAGGGTTTCCAAGGCTGTACATCTTTATGGAAGAAGATTGTCACATCTTGCTTCCGTGGCTAGTGAGTTTGAATCACCAGTTACCAGTCCTGTAGAATAGCTGGTGGGTTTGAACCACTGTTAGCAGTCCAGCACTTAACCATATATTCATGGAAAAAAAAAAAATACTATACATTGAAATGGCAGATACAATGAAGACTAAGAATTCTTTTTCTTAGTCCCCCAGATATTCTTCCCAGGACAGTCACTGTTACCAGTTTTGATATCCCAGGGAAGGGGCTTTAAATGACAGGACAGAGGGAGGGCAACATCAATTTGAAAACTCACCAAACAGCAGGAAATTCTTCTGGCTCTGAGCAGGCATAGCCCTAAGGCTCCTCAGCCCCTCAGCCCCTTCAGGATGTCACCATGCACATCTGGGGTCTCAGTCTTGATTTCAGGAGCTAGGGAGGCCCAGGGCTGGAATTGAGGAGAGGAAGCAGGAAAAAAAGAGAACCAGAACAAACTCAAGAACCCAGGGAGGATCACCCAAGGCCAGGCTCCAAGGGTTGTGCAATCATCTCACCCTGAGGGCTCTGACCCCGTCCCTTGTTCTCTTTCCTGCTGCAGCTAGTTCAGGCCAGCCCAGGGTTGCAACTGCAGGAACTGTGCAATGGCCAAGGGCTGTCTGATTGCCCACAATGCTTCAACTGGTTGGCTTCATGAGAAACCCCACTTTAACATGTGGATTCCTGCTCAGGAATCAGCTAATACTGCAACCAAAAACATTCCCTTTCTCGGGGGTACTCACCTGTTAGCAGGAGCTGCTGAAAGGCTAAAAGGGCCTCAAGACTCAGGGGTACGGTATGTGTGGTGGAATGGCAGTGGGCAGTTGGGTTTGGGTTGGTATTCTACATTGAAACAAATGATGTGCTACCCATCAGTCTGTTTAGATAGAGAGGGTATAAACATGCTCACAGAATTAACAAACTCTGTAGCATAGCTTTCTTGTAAGAATTAAAAGAGAAACTCATGCAGTGCCTGGCACATCCATAGATGGGGTAGTCATTTTTGTTTTTCTACAGCAGAAGCTGGAAGGCCCTTCAGAGTCTATCTCGTCTGAATGTCTTCACTTTACAGTGAAGCAAATGCAAACCCAGGGAAGTGTCTTGGTTTAGTTGCTACTCGTGTGATTTTGGGCATGTGACTTCCTTTTCTGGGTCTCAACTTCTGTCTGCATCTGTAAAATGAAGGGGTTTTA